CAATCCAGCACCCTTGCAGCCTACAGCCCCTCTGCTGGACCCCCATATCTTCCCTCCCTTTCGCTGGGCCCAGCCCAGGGACCGGGCGACTGGAGAGGGAGCACACCACAGTCACTCAGTGTCGCCAGTCCTCAGTCCTCCCTCCCTGCTTTGCTTGGTCCTTCCCACAGGAACCACAACCAATGCTCCTGTCCATGTCTCACCTTTGTCCCGCTGCCTGCTGACCCGCCCTGTGTGGTCAAGACATACTGCGCCTCTTATTTCTATGGACCTGTGAGTACCGAAACTTCTCCCTTCCTGACTGTTATTTCTGTGTCTGGGTACAGTGAGACTGTCTCAGTCTATCTAGAATATCTTTTTCCCTCCTCTCTCAAATGTTCCATGTTCACGGAAATGCATGCAACAGTCTAGGTATTTTCTCCATCTTTATTTTCTAGTTGAACAATTCCCTTTTTAATCTTACGTGATTGATCTGGCTCTTTTTCCAATATGACTGTTATTTCTGATAATGCTGTAGCTCCCCCTTATCCATGGTTTCATTTTCCCCAGTTTCAGTTATCCGTGATCAATTATGATCTGAAAACATTAAATGGAAAGTTCTCGAGAGAGACGATGTGTAAGTTTAAGCAGCACCCCTGTGTGAGCAGCCCGAGGGAACCTTGCACTGGCTCACTGTCCCGCTCAGGATGGGACTCATCCTTGTCCAGCCTTTCCAAGCTGTGTACACTACCTGCCTGAGCGACTCGCTTGGCATCCTGGTTAACAGCCCTACTGTTATGTATTGCAAAGCTTGTTTTCAGGTAACCCTGATTTTACCTAATTATGGCCCCGAAGCCCAAGAGTAGTGATGCTGGCGATTAGGATGTGCCAAGGAGAAGCCAAGCGCTCCCTTTAAGAGAGAAGGTGGGCTGGCACCGCGGCTCACTAGGCTAATCCTCCACCTTGCGGCGCCGGCACACCGGGTTCTAGTCCCGGTCGGGGCGCCGGATTCTGTCCCGGTTGCCCCTCTTCCAGGCCAGCTCTCTGCTGTGGCCAGGGAGTGCAGTGGAGGATAGCCCAGGTGCTTGGGCCCTGCACCCCATGGGAGACCAGGATAAGCACCTGGCTGCTGGCTCCTGCCATCGGATCAGCGCGGTGTGCCGCCTTGCAGCATGCTGGCAGCAGAGGCCATTGGAGGGTGAACGAATGGCAAAGGAAGACCTTTCTCTCTGTCTCTCTCTCTCACTGTCCACTCTGCCTGTCAAAAAAAAAAAAAAAAAAAAAGAGAGAGAGAAGGTGGACATGCTGCACATATACAGGGTTCACTGCCACGGTGACTCCAGGTGGCTGCTGGGGGTCTTAGAGTGCACACCATCCACATGGGGACTGCTCTATCCAGCTCCATTGTTTATATTTTTAAATATTTTCTCTAAAACGATTCCATATTCCGAAGATTCATTTTTTTTTTCATTTGAAAGGCAAATAAAAAGGCAAAGTGACAGAGAGAGGGAAGAGGGGTGGGAGAGAAGAATCTTCCATCCTCTGGCTCAGTCTCCAAATGGCAATAGCCAGGACTGGGCCAGGCTGAAACCGGGAGCCCAGATCTCCATCCTGGTCTCCCACATGGGTAGAGGGGCCCAAGCACTTGGGCCATCTTCTACTGCTTTCCCAGGCTCATCAGCAGGGAGCTGGATCAGAAGCGGAGCAACTGGCACTCGAATCAGCACTTCAGTATGGGATTCCAGCATGCAAAGCAGCAGTGTGGCCCACTGTGCCACAACACCAGGCCCAGCCATTCCATATTCTAAATCTGACGGATCCAATAGTTGCAGTCTTTAGGAAAGGTCTGAATCTATTGCTCTTTTTTCTTGCTGGCCTTTACACATGATAGCTTCATTTCCCAAGGGCTTCATTCATTGTGAGCAGTAACGCTTGACCTTAAATTTAGGAATGGAATTCGCAGGGAGCCACGGATGATAGGGACAACTTTAACCTCCTTGTTTAGTGAAGCATCAACCTCACCTAAAGAGATGTGTGGCCTTTGCCTTCTGCTACTGGAGGCTGAGCTCTGGGCCTTGGGACGCTAGAGTGTCTCTGTTTGAGGGGCTTGGCCACCAGATAGTCTACAAAGCCATCCACCGTGGGGCTTTGGACCACCTGAGGCCACCTTTGCATCTCAGAGGGTTTGCATATGAAAAGTATAGGCCTGACCACTAGGGGGCACTACAGGTGAAGCAGGCAATGCATGATTGAGGTCCCTCCCCCATTCCAGACACCAAAGTCTCCGCTGAGTGCTCCTGGCTGGCAAACTCCATATGCAGTGCCACACACACTGATGGCAGGAAAGTAGGGTGCCCATGAGTTTAAGGGGTAGAGTGCAGAAACTCCGCACTTGGTCCTTTCCTGGCCTATGCTCCGTGGGCTTTCGCTGTTTTTTTTTTTTTGTTTTTGTTTTTGTTTTTTGTTTTTTGTTTTTTTTTTTTTTTTGACAGGCAGAGTGGATAGTGAGAGAGAGAGACAGAAAGAAAGGTCCTCCTTTTGCTGGTGGTTCACCCCCCAATGGCCGCTGTGGCTGGCGCACTGCGCTGATCCGAAGGCAGGAGCCAGGTACTTATCCTGGTCTCCCATGGGGTGCAGGGCCCAAGCACTTGGGCCATCCTCCACTGCACTCCCTGGCCACAGCAGAGAGCTGGCCTGGAAGAGGGGCAACTGGGAAAGAATCTGGTGCCCCGACCGGGACTAGAACCCGGTGTGCTGGCGCCGCTAGGTAGAGGATTAGCCTATTGAGTCGTGGTGCCGGCCTTTTGCTGGCTTTAATTTGTGTCCTTCCCCTGTGATAAACTGAAACTGTGAGTTCAGCAGCTGTCAGGGAGTTCTGTGAATCCTACTGACCAACTGAAATAAATGGTGGGTCTGGAATGTCTAGAGCTTGCAGCTGGTGTCAGAGTGAGGGTGGTCTTGTGTGCGAATGGTGTACCCCGTCACCACCCCGTCACCACCCAGGTGGCCTGCATGTCCCCTTTGGCATAGCCCTTCAAACTTCCTCAAGGATCTGAACTCCATGAGGGTGTCTCAGCTTCCCCGCCTCGGTGCTGGCTGGAGCTTAGGGTCCCTCTGGCCATGCAGCTACGGGCAATAGGCCTTAGGCCTCTCTGTCCTGCCTGAGTGCTCATTGCTAACCGCCCTGAGTCTGCCCGCAGAGTGCATTATTTATGTTGTGTGTTTGGGTCCTTGGAGATTGTCTGTATTTCTTTTCCTCTCAACATCAAAAATTGCTCACTTTCAATCTAGGTTCCAGTTGCTAAACGGGGACAAGTAGACTCCTATTTTTATATTTACTTCTGGGTTCCATATCGCCACTTAAAATGTCATCTACTTAATTGCCTTAGGCAACCTGAGTTATGCCAGTGACCAATCACAGTAACTCCGGTGGCGATGATTTTTTGCCTGCATTACTTCAATAGTCAAGTCACAGACATTAGCGTCTCCAGCTAAGTCTTCACATTGATGATACAGCAGCTCTCCAAAGTGTATGGCAGTGTGAGCTTGTCGTCTTTCTTGATGCAGTTGCCAAGACTGGAGCACAGACAGCCATCTTGGGTCGTGAGGCAATGACTCCATGGGGGGAAGTGTTGGAGTAGTAAGGTGAGGTCCAGTTCAGCGAAGACTCTGGGGGCTGACTTATTACTTAAGAAATTCCCACGTTAGCATTTTGACCTAAGGAAGTAATGTAACTCTTTCTTTTCCCCAGGAGTTTGCTGCTTTCGCTGCTTTGCAACACCACCTCGGAGCCCCTACCTCCTGCAGGACAGAGGACCTGCTAATCTAAGGAGGGAAGACAGTCCCAGGCAGTCAGGGTAGGTGGGGCAGAGGCCACCTTCAATTCTACCACCTCTCTCTTGCTTTCCCATTCATTTTATTCTGTAGAATTGGCTGAACGTCACTTTCTTTTCCATGTTGAGTCCAAGGGGTTCAACCCTTGAGTGACCCTGAGAGTTAGTCCACCTCTTTCTTCGCCTCCAGAGGCACGTCTGAGCTTGATTTAGGACACATCCGAGTCGGGAAGTAGTACGTGCTGGTAAGTCTTAGGCAGAGTCTACCTGATCTAGCTCAGCATTTTAAAGAGCTCTTTTCAGACAGCAGGTACTTGAGAACTATTCATGAAATGATTTTTTTTAATTATTCTTATCCTGCTACTGCACCATACATGTACCTTCCCAGAGCCTTGCTGTAGGGGACAGATGTGATTACAGGGCAGGATTTGCCCTTCTTGGGTCCCTGACCATATGATCACAGAGTTGAAAACAGCCCTGTGCTTCCTTTTAATGATGGTGAGGTAGGAGTTCCTCCTGCCGTGATGGCTCCCAGCACTGGATGCTGCCGCTGCCGCTTCTTCTGCAGGAGCAGGGGCAGAGAACCCGTGATGCAGGTTCCATGGTCACCTCCAGGCATGTTCGTGATTCAAGGATGGTCTGATTCCACCAAGGGGGGACTAGCTTGTTAAAGTGACCGAAGCAAGATGACGAAGAGGGGAGAAATGAGATAAAGGTTGCACCTAGGGTTGAACTTTAGGCAGCCAGAAGTCTTTGTTAGTCACTTGCTCCACTCATTTCCGCTGGCCATGAACTTTTCCATAGTTCCCTGAATGACGAACAACCCCCACAGAGAGCCTCGGCAGTCTGAATGGAATGAACTCCACTGTGTTTGGTGAGCTGCCGATGAGGTGATGATGTCTGGCTTTGTCAAGTACCCTAAGTAAATTACTAATCATTGGTAGAAATAGAAGCACAGGCATTATTTCATTATGAGCCATGATAATGCAACCGAGTGGTCCCCAGGCCACCTCCGGGGTCACACAGCTGACAGGTCTGTGGGTGTCTGTTTCTTTGAGCTGACTGTGGTGAGCAGCTGATATCTCCCGGGGAGGCGGAGGAAGCGAGCTAACAAGGACGTGCTGTTCCACACAGGGCAGCTATAAAGTCCCTCATTAGGGACTCCGCAGCCGCCCCCCCCCCCACCCCCGGGCGGCCACCAGCATTCTCATTCACAAAGGAAGAAGGTAAGGCAGACAGGGAACAGAGTCCCAGGGTGACCCTGGGCCCAAATCAGGACAGGGACTCGGTGTTCCCATGGCCTCCTCCTCACCCATTCTGACGCCTGGCAGCTGTCACCTGTGGGCACTGGGCACTGAGTTCTCTGCCATCATTTGAATCACTCTTTCCACTAACGACTCTTTCGCTCAAGCAACTCAGAAAAGTAATTGGCATGTTTTCGGTCCTCTGTTGGACTTGTTGAGGTGTTAAGAGGAGAAGTTTGTATGTATTACCTGCACGCCATCTGGGCCATGTCAACTATATTTCTGTATCATATTGTATTGTTTACCCATCCAAAGACTGTAAGCCAAGAAAGTACAACTAGCAAAGAATGGTGTACCCAGGGCCTGAAGAAGCAGACAGACTCTCATCATCGGGGGTAACCAGCAACATCTGGCTTTTGAGGAAGGAAGTCCAACTTCCTTGGTTAGCAATACAGCTATTTGGGCTGATGGGCTGGCTATTCCCGTCTATTCTGTGGAGGGGCTGGGGTGCAAGCGAGCTGAGCATCTACACGGAATGGTGTCAGTGGAGACATATGCTGCACCTGCTGCAAGCTGCCTCTGCAGTCAGTCCCCGTGGAGAAACTGAGGCAGTTTAGCAGCTTTGCCGGGGCTGGAGGTGAGCCTATCCTTTCTGTATTTCCAGAATACAGAAGCTGCAGAAGCCTTGGTCTGGACTTCATTTCTGTACTGCTTTGGGGGAATGGGGACAAGAGGCTCTGGACTCATCTAAGTTTTCTTGCAGGTGACAGCGGACAGGGCTGGCATCCCCTGTGCAGCCTCTCCCACGTCCCCCAGGGTTGTTCTATTACTCTTCAGCCCTTAGGGGATTGTCCCTGAGCTCCAGTTAACGAAGCAGGACTGCTTCTCCCTTTTGAGGATACCGAAGGAGTCTATAAAACTGAAGGAAGATAGTGGTGTCCTTGGGGCTTTTTTTTTTTTTAAAGTCTTCTTGGGAATCATTTTTTAAAGTGTTGACACTAAGACATTGTTCCCCAGGTGATGTACGACCCCCAGCATTTTCCAGGATCCCCGATCATTCATCACAGATGAGGCCACAGGCAGTGTGGGATTGGCTTGGTCCCAGAGACTTGCTTGAGGCTTATTGTTTATTCACCGCTGGGATCATCAGGGTCTGAGAAGTGACAGGCGCCTGGCTCAGCGGGGAGGATGCGGTGGGAGGGAGACCAGAGGAAGTTTATCTGTCTTCATTCCAGCCAGAAGACTTGCAGCCCGGAGATGGCTCTCATATGGACTCTGAAGTGTTTGCATTTTCTCTGTTGACTTGTCATTGAGATAAATGCATTTATATGTGTGCCCACATGATTTTTAATATTGGCAGAGGCCTCGAAGCACTTAGAAAGGCCAAGGTGTGCATCTGTGTGATATCTCTCCCCAGCCCCGGGCGTGCTGGCGTCTTCCAAGGCAGAGGGACAGGGACAGGGAGTGGGCTAAGCTGGCATGGGACAGAGGTGGGAAGGGAAGGGGATTAACAGGAACCAATGGGCAGATGACCCTGAATCCCCAGGGCGGCGGTGGGGTGGGGGTGGGAGGAGAGAGCAGACTCCTTTGCGGTTAAATGTAGGTTCCCCCGTTGTAGGCGTGTTTCTCTGGCCTCTCTGTCTCTCCTCATGCAATGTGCTCCACTCCTGTGGCTCTCCTAGTGAGATCAGGCTCCATGTCAGAACCTCACAGTGTGGGTGGTTTAAATGAGAGATTTAGTTCTTACAGTCCTGGAGCCTGGAAGTCTAAGATGGAGATGTCCACACGGTCAGTTTCTGGTCGTGAATGGCCGCCTGGCTGGTACACAGCCACTGTGAGCTCGCATGCTGGGGCGTGCGGGGAGATGCAGGGGAGGGCGCATGCTTTCCTGTGTCTCTTCTGTCTAAGCAGAGGGCTCCATCTGGACCTAATTATCTCCCGAAGGCCCCGTCTCCAAGGACGCTCACAGCTTAGCGGTTCCAGGTGTGGATTTTGGCTGACACAATTCAATCAGCAGCTCTTTGGCACGATTTCCCCGGGGCACGTCCCTAGGCCAGCGTTCTGTCCCGAGTAACTGAGCTACACCTGTGTATGTAGCAGATACAAATGGCCGAGGAGTTGGCCCCCATGGGGATCTCACACAGAATACGTTACCTTCGGCTCCAACCAGCCACTTCCGCCATGTTTCCTAGGTCAACTAAGGGTGGTTCTTGTCAGTATAAGACTTTTTTCCTGCATAGCATTTGGGGTTCTGTTTCCTTCTCGGGTCTGTTTTGCTGGCCCCCAGGAGGTTTCTGCCAAGGCTGGGCTTCTACTTGTTCTGAGCAGCCACACCTCTTCTCCACTGCAGCTGGTTTGATTCCTTTCTGTTTTTTAAAGGTTTATTTTTTTATTTGAAATGCAGAATGGAGGGGGTGGGGAGAGGAAGAGAGAGAGAAAGAGAGAATCTTCCATCTGCTGGTTCACTCCCCGAATGGATGCAATGTCTGGGCCTGGGCCACTTCAAAGCCAGGAGCCAGGAACTCCATCCTGGTCTCCCACGTGGATGGCAGGGGCCTGAGTTAGCAAGAGCTGGATCAAAACCAGAGCAGCTGGGAGACTCACTGGCACTCCAGTATAGGTGTCGGCCCTGCACTGGCAGGGCTTAAGCTGCTGCATCCCAACCCTGACCCCTGGTTTGACCCTGACAGCCTATAGTTGCCACCTTTGAGAGGTTGTGCGCCACACAGATGAATCCACACCTCTGAGAGGGCCCAGGCATCCACAGGCCCCACAGTGAGCGCGGAGACTCTCTGCTTTAAGCCCCCCAGCCTTCAAGGCTCATGTGGCTGTTCCAGTGGGTTGGGACCACCTTCTCTGCACCAGCCAGCTCCCAGAGCTTGCCCTACCCCACCCCTCCCCTCTGGTTCCTCCGTACCCCACATCTCAGCTTGTCTCCGGACTTTCCCTGCCCTTCAGACTTGTCAACTCATCACAGTTCCTTGATTGGCCCTGGCACTCTCCAAAAGCTCCCCTTCTCAGATTGCAGCCGCTGGTGGGTCAGGCTGGTCTTCCTTAGCGTCCCATTGCATGGAGGTTCTGGAAAAGTCTCGGCTGACTTCTCAAGGAGTCACTGCACTGCTACACGCACTAGGATGCTCCAGCCCGGCTTCTGTGGCCTGAGCCCACGCTGCTCTGCACAGTGCCGGAGTCCTGCTGCTAAAACCGGCAGCTATTTTTAATGAGCAATTTCCTTTTTTCTTCAAGCAGCTTATTTAGACAAGGAAAGGAGAGACATGTGGCTTTTGCTGGAGAAGATAACTCATTTATCATCTGGCAGTTTTCTCTGCTTTATTTGAGGTGTACAACACAGGCAAGGGCCAATCCACTAACCTCAGGACTGGCTTGGACAGGAGTTTAATTTAGATCGTGGCACAGACTGTGTTTGCTCTCTGAAAACTGACTGTACTTTGAGGCCTTAAACATTCAATATCAGAAGGAAAAGGACAAGCAACCCAGTAAAAAAAATATTGGCAAAGGATATAAATAGGAATTCAGACAATATGAAATTGCAAATGGCCAATAATGACAGAATGCTTAAGCTCTGTTAGTAAATCAGGGAAATTGAAATTAAAAGACAGTAAGATATATTTCTTCAACCAGTCAAGGGTGTTCAGCAACAATTAATGGAATAGGAAATGCAGAAAGACCAGTAAACACGAGAAGAACATCGTTGTTCTAATGAGCAGGAAACCACAAGCTCAAAGACATTTTTCACCAGATTGGTGAAATTATATTGGCAAGGCTATGGACAGATGGGGATACATATATGAGAAGACAAATATATACACACTTCTGGCAGGGTTGTAATTTGTACATATTCTGGAGAGCAGTTTATCAGAATACAGTGTGATTTTTTTTTTTTTGCCAGTACGCATTACAACTTTTATAAATGTAGAAGTTTATTTTGATCCAGAACTATTTCTGTACTTATTTGCCACGGAGCATTTTATCAGAGCGGTTTTGAACAAGTTGGGGACCGATGACAGTTGGTAAGCTGTTCAATACAGGCTTCTAAATCACGTCTCCCATTAACCCTTACTCAGACTCTTCCAGATGGTCCTTGATCAAAACCATGAAATAGGTCCGCTTGCTCATTTAAAGCACATTAAAAAAGAAAATTAATTGGAACACTGTGGCTTATCAATTTTACATAAAGAGCCCATGCGATGTTAGACTATTTAGAATGAAATTAGTATAATTATGGGTTAATGTTCTGCAATACATTCAGCAGACTTCTGTAACAACCAGATATGAGTGTGTAGGCTTTGTGGCCAGTCTCTGTGGCAATGACTGGACTGCTCACGCCTATAGTAGAAGAGTAGCTGTAGTCTGTATGTTAGCTATGAGGGAGGTGGTGCTCCAATAAAACTTTATTTATGGATTATAAAACTTGAATTTCACATGACATATCATTCTTCTTTTGACTTTTTCCCCCAAAACTTAAAAAAAATTTGAAATACCTTTTTTTTTTTTTGAGGGCCACACAGAGTGAATCTGGCCTGCAGGCTTTTGTTTGCCAAGCTGTGTTTTACATTATTAGTTGCTTCTTAGGAATTAGAATTTGCAATAGCACTATTTACTGTAACTTTAAAAGACACTAGCCATTATTCCAAATGAAACAGTGAAGAGCCACTTCAGAGCAATCAAAACCAGTTCTTTTACAAATATTTGAAATGTATTTGGTTTTGTTAAGCAAAAGCTAGGTTTTTAAAAGTTTTATTTAATGATGTGTTGTTTTCTTTGTGTTTGTCCCCAAATCATTTGTTACTTCTATGGATAATTTACAGGGCCGCTAGTGGGGGTCACGGGAAGTAGCCCATCCCCAGAGTTCTAGGCGTGTCCCAGATCCAGTAACCCAACAGCTGGCTGGCCTGCAGTAGAATATTGGTCCTGATTTCATGTTTCAGCATAGTTCCGCACCCCAGGCATTCTGGCTGTTTCCATAACTAGAATCATCCTGGAAACAGCAACAAAGTCTTTTTTTTTTTTTTAAAAAAAAGATGTATTTATTTGAAAGGCAGAGTTACAGAGAGGCAGAGAGAGAGAGAGAGAGAGAGAGAGAGAGAACTTTTCTATCTGCTTGTTCACTCCCCAAATGGCCGCAACAGCCAGAGCTGCGCTGATCCGAAACCAGGAGCCAGGAGCCTCCTCTGGGTCCCCACGCTGGTGCAGGGGCCCAAGGACTTGGGCCATCCTCCATTGCTTTCCCAGGCCACAGCAGAGAGCTGGATGTAAGTGGAGCAACTGGGACTTGAACCCGGGGCCCATATGCAATACCAGCACTGCAGGTGGTGACTTTACCCGCTATGCCACAGCGCCAGGCCCCAGCATTAAAGTCTTACCCTAAGCCACTGGCTCGGTTCTAGAGAGAGCTGGTTAATGCAACTGGACAGTGGCTTACCTTCATACATTTGGAACAAAACTGTGGTTTCTTGTTGCCACATCCTTATTTAGAGTGAACTACTTCTTTCAGAGGGGTTGGAGCTTCCTCAGTTTCAACAGCCCATACAGCTTTCTTGTGCTGAGCAAGTTCACAGAGAGGGAGCCTTGCTCAACCAATCAGTGCTACATTCTCAGCTGTCTCAAGAGGTTCCCTAAGATTGTTTTTTTGTATGGTGACCAAGAAAGCAAGCCGACAATTCTGGCTAGTGGTGGCCATCTATATCTATATCTATATCTATATCTATATCTATATCTATATCTATATCTATCTATCTATATCTATAGCGTGCATGTATATATGTATATGTATGTATGTGTATATATGTACAGGTACATGCTTATGTAAATGAACACTGAGGTTTTATATTCACAGGAAACTCTGCAGATCACAACCAGGATGCTGAAGGTACCATCTTACTCTTTTAATAACCAGCTGTTTATTTTGAGGGTGGTGGAATGCAAGCTTTGGGGTTTCAGTCTTTTTCAGAACTCTTTTTTTTTTTGTCATTCCTCTCCTTTTTTTTTTTTTTTTTAGATCTGTGTGTTTATTTGAAATTCAGAATTACTGAGAGAGAGATCTTCCAACTGTTTGTTCACTCCCCAGATGGCCACAACGCCTGGGGCTGGGCCAAGCTGAAGCCAGGAGCCAGGAGCTTCTTCCAGATCTCTTACATGGGTTGCAGAGGCCCAAGGACTCGGGCCATCTCTCGCTGCTTTTCCCATGCCATTAGCAGGGAGCTGGATTGGAAGTGGAGCAACTGGGACTCTAACTGGTGCCCACATGGCATGCCGGCGTAGCAGGCAGGGGCTTTATCTGCTATGCCGCAACTCCAGCCCCCAAAACTGTTTCTGAACTTCTAGGAGGCTTTCAGTTGGTGTAGCTAATCGGCAAGGAATGAGAGGTCTTCACGGGACTGGTGCTGCACTTCTGGGCTCTTCTGTGGTCAGTTTGGGCAGCTGGAATCCTTTCTAACTACACTTGCAATGATTCAATGACAATCTGAGAGTACGCCAAATAGACACAGTGGCGCCAAGAGCAGTTTGTGGGTTCTGTCCTTCATTCTGGTTGCTGGGAAGACCTACCTGAGCCCACATTTGTAATTTTCCCCACGGGCATGCTGGCAACCAGAGGCTGGCTGAGTCGGCCCAGAATATTCTTTCTCTTAACGATGGGTTCTCAGCTTGGTTAAACTTCCACACCCACCCTGGGGCTCACCGACCTCTGAGAAAGGCCACTGTTGGAGCTTCTGTGAAACTTCGCCTTTTGTCCAGCAATCAAGCCCCTTCAGGTGGACAATGGGCCATTTCCCAGTGTGTTCAGTTCCTGGTTTGTATCCCCAAGGGTGGAACATGGCAAGCGCTGTGGAGGGTGTGAGTATGGAGCCACAGTTCCGGGGTTGTGGAGCCCCCCTCAGCCTGGCTCAAATCCCAGTCCTAGTCAGGGACTGAACGCTCCGCCACAGTGGTGCAGCCGCTCTCGCATGCCTCCTCTCGATCATCTAGTTAATTAGTTTCACCATAGCACGTTTCATCAGCCAACCACTGGACGCGATGAGCGGAGGTGTGGCTGGGGTCCGTGTGCTTCATCTAGTGTCTCTCACCTTGTATTATTTCACTCTGGGTATCCATCAGCTATTCCTTGAGCGATTGAGAACATCCTTGTCGCCTCTTCTGCAGGACCTGGGCGATATCCACACCTGCTTTCCCAGGGCTTCCTTTGTCAGCCAGAGACAGAGCTGTGGTTGCGGCACCAGAACGCACCCAGGATGGGGGCGAGCCTCTTGCTGCCCTATGAGAGCTCTGCCATGCCAAACTCTAGCCAGTCGGCGGGTAGCCTTTGTCCAGTGAGAGCTTCCAAAAAGCTGTCCTGCAGCGCACTCCAGATACGGTGAGGGCACAGGCTCTGACTGCTGTGGCAGTCTGGCCGTCTTGCACCTGTTGCTGCTGTGTGCCTTGGACCCTTTCTCCATGGCTGCTGCCCCCTGCGCATTCCCAGGGTCAAGCTGAGGCAGGCTTAAACCCATACTGAAGAGCCTGCTGCTGTGGCGCAGTGGGTTAAGCCACTGCCTATGATGCCGGAATCCCATATGCATGCCGGTTCCAGTCCCAGCTGCTAATGCGTCTGGGAAAGCAGCAGAAAGTAGACCAAGTTCTCGGGCCCCTGCCACCCTCGTGGGAGACCTGGATGAAGCACCTGGCTTCATCCTGGCCCAATCCGGGCTGTTGCAGCCATCTGGGGAGTGAACCAGCAGATCGATCTCTCTCTGTCTCTCTGCCTTTCAAGTAAATAAGTAGATCTTAAAAATATTAAAAATGTGTATCTTACATGCAGCAAGTTTACTTAGAACTTACTGTTGGAAGATATTGACAGGTATGTAGATATTCACCACATCATTATTTATGATAATTAAAAAATGAGAAACAGTTTAGCTATTCAGCAATGCAGAAGTGGTTAAACAATGTGAACCTGCAGGGAGTATTATACAACAGGTGCAGATTATAAAACTGCATGAACAATATCGGACACCTAGTGTTGACTGAAGGAAAGGAAAGTCACAAAGCAGTAGACAGTTTGATGCCGTTTCTGCAAAGCAACAACTACCAACAACGAAAAGAAAGTGTGTGTTTGGGTATAAATCTTTTGCGTTTTACTAAAGATTTCCGTGGAGAAAGTGTGTGGTTGAGTATAAATCTTTCGCCTTTTACTAAAGATTTCCGTGGAGAAAGTGTGTGTTTGGGTTAGGTGTGATTGCGTGAACATCCACGCCCAGATCACCTGGGAAGATTCAAGCCCTGCCCGTCCTGGTGGTGCCTTCCTGGAAGCTCTGGGAGTTGGAGCTCAGAGAAAGTGAGTTCCGTACACCATACACTAGTTGCACAAAGAGGGTGTTTTCATATGCACCTCGTGCAGCCATCAGCGAATAAAACATTTGAAAAGGAAGTAAATAAAGTGAAGCTGATGGATGTAAACAATCTGACGCTGGGAAAGCACTTGCTCTCATGGACTCTCATCCACATGGCAAAGCCCTACACAGACCCCAAGCCTGCCCCAGGGCTCTTGCAGCTTGGGTGCATGGTGGCCTCCAGCCCTGCCCGGGAGCTACGTGCCTGCCTTGGACGTAGGGCCACTGGCTCTTGGCTGGAAAAATGAGACAGTAAGAATGACATCCCCTGTTTAGCACAAGGAGCACCCAAGATGGCAGGGGGACATTCTAAGGAAAGAGACCACGGCTCGTATCTTGCGTGCAGGGGCAGCTGTGGCTTAGATCCCCTACCTCCTGAATCAGAGCCACAGTTTGAGTCCCAGCTACTCCGCTTCTGCTCCAGCTTCCTGGTAATGCACCTGACAGGCAGCCGAGGACGGCTCAAGTACTTGGGCTCCTGCTGCCCACGTGGGAGACCTGGGTGGAGTTTCTGGCTCTTGGCTTTGGCCTGATCCACACCTGGCTGTTGTGGGCATTTGAAAAGTCTCTCTCCGACACCTTCTGTCCCTTTGTCAATCTGACTTCTGAATAAATTACTTTTTTTTTTTAAGTTTGTGTGTGTGGGAGGGAATAAAGGGGATACTGTCAGTGATGAAGACAGCAAGCAGGAAGCCTTCTTAGCCATCTTCCTGGAGGGCTCACCCCAGAGAGCTGTCACAGGCCCCCCACCCCGTCCCGGCACTGCAGACCTGCTAGTATGGGGGTATTTTCAGTCCAGCAGCTCCAGCTCCTTAAAGTCTGATGCATCTAAGGAAGGGCCAGGAAACAGGCCAGGCCTTGGGAGTCACGGGTGTCTTTACCTTACCGTGAACCTGCTGTGGACGAGAGGGTGTCACATTGAGCCGTGGCCTTGCTACTGCAGCTGTGAGGCCGGGCCCTGCGGAGACAGTCCTGCACTGCCCTCTGCAGTGGGAAGGAGACACGGCAAGCTGTTGGCCGCAGCCTGTGTGAGCTGGCTGGGCCTGAGTGTACCCCGCCGCTGTGCATTGCCCCGGGGTGGGGTTGCAGCCTCGGCATTTAGGCATGGGGCACACGTGGTCTAGGAGGGCTGTGGGTGGGAAATTCCTCTTGGCCTTGCAGATTCCTTTCCAGGTGGACAGGGGCATGACCAGAGAGAAGGTCAGGCCAGGTGCGGCCGGGGGGTGAGCTTCACATCACAGCAGAGCTCATCGGAGAACCGCACCGTGGGCTGGGGAGATGCAGCTTGTGGGGAGCAGCTCGGACTAGACTAAGTTACTGGAATTAAGACTTATTCTATGCATCTGCTCTCCTACAATATGGCGCTGGGAGAGGAGAAAACAGCTTCTGCCCAGCTGCCTCCAGTTCAACCAATAAACTGTAGGACTTGCTCCTGATTGGAGAGCAGCGTACTCGGCGTGTGGGCAGCCGAGTTGGGATTGGCGGAGGAGGACTATAAAGGAGGAGAGAGACGGCATGCACCGGGAACATCTATGGGGAACATCTATGGGGAACATCTAAGGGAACCCGTGCAGCCCCCGAGAGAGCTGGCCGGCGGTGTGCCGCTCCCCTGCGGAAGTGGGGAATGTGGCCAGGGGGAACTGCCCTTCCACGGAGGTGGAAGGGATAGTAGCCAACCCGGGAAGAACCAGCAGCAAACCCGGGGAGGGCCGAGCAGACGAAAGAACAGCGCAGGGTCCTGTGTCGTTCCTCCACGAAGAGGGGGAGCGACACAGCTGCTGAAGATGGCTTTCTGGGAGAGAAGCTGTGAACTGGGCACCTTGGTCCACCCTTAGCTACAGAGTTCTGTAGCTGATTTGATTTATGTCTGAGTTGGTTGAAAGCGGGGTCAAGGGCAAATCGCACCTGCCTGTCGGCTGTTATGAAGTGTGGAGAGACCTTGACTCGTGATAGAATGAGTAAACATGAACAAATCGTGGGCCTGATGAGAAATACTACAGATCACAGGGTAAAGGATGGCATCCAGGAACCTCACAGAAGAATCAGCAATAAGGCAAATATTGCAGTTCAACGAGCCACTGCACTGCGAGATAGGAATGTAACACCATGAAGAGATAAGAAGCAGGAAAGGAAAGACAAGAGATTAGTATATGGAAGACTTGGGGCCAGTGCTGTGACCGAGCAGGTAAAACCGGTGCTGCAGGTGGTTCAAGTCCTAGCTGCTCCACTTCTGATCCAGCTCTCTGCTATGGGCTGGGAGAGCAGCAGAAGATGGCCCAATTGCTTGGGCCCTGCATCTGTATAAAAGACCCAGAAGAAGCTCCTGGCTCCTGGCTTTGGATTGGCCCAGCTCTGGCTTTTGTGGCCATTTGGGGAGTGAACCAGCAGATGGAAGACCTCTTTCACTGTCTCCCCCTCTGACTGAAACTCTACCTTTCCAGTAAATGAATACATTTTTAAAAAAAGATACGGAAGATGTTGAAGTAAACCAAATGCACAATAATGTCATTGGCACATAACTACTGGTTGTACCTGACATCAGACTGAGTTATATGGAGAACAAATTTGTGAAGCTTTTTAGGACACAGAAAAAAAAGTACAAGCAGAGGACAGAGAGAGAGGATTCAGTCTATGGTTACTTTGTGTTCCTAGGGGAGATAGCGTAGCACGTGGAATGGAAGCGATAATGAAAGATGAAATAAAAACCACAGCGTACAGACCGCAGGGGCTCAGTGTGTTTCACACACACACACACACACACACACACACACGAAAAAAGACACCCACTCTGCAGATAGCAAAAGGAAATTTTTAATGACATGAATTTTTAAAAAACATTTATTTACTTGTTTATTTGAAAGGCTGAGTGATAGAGAAAGGGAGAGAGAGGAAGGGGGCAGGGAGGAGGGAGAGAGAGAGAGAGAGCGCGTGCGCGCGTGCGAGAGAGAGAGAGAGAGAGAGACCTTCCATCTGCTGGTTCACTCCTCAGATGTCTGCAACAGCCAGGGCTGGATTAGGCTGAAGCCAGGAGCCAGGAGCTCCATCCTGGTCCCCATGTGGCTCAAGTACCTGGGCCATCCATCCTCTCTTCCCAGGGCGCATTAGCAGGGAGCTGGCTTAGAAGTGGAGTAGCTGGGACTTTATTTCGTTGTGTGTTTCTGATGTGGGATGTGGGCATCCCTCATGATGGTTTAATCAGTTCCACCACTACATCCAGCCATCCTGAAATGAATTGTTAACAATCCCACAAATCATCTCAGAAAAGGCAGTTTATCTGCAAATTGAAAGGACACATTAGGCATTTTTTGCCCGTCAAAGAGCACTGTGATATTATTTTGGTCTCTTCCTCATTTGACTTACTACAACAGAACTGCCAGTCCAAACATTTTGTCTTTGCCTGCCCAGAGGTGGGTCTGTGATGAACAGGGCAGCTTCTCTCTGGACCTGGCACTTCCGCAGAATCACAAAAGGACAGGATGTAGGGGCAGAGGCCTCTGCTCCTGCTCTGGTTGTAAAGCCAAGACGTCCAGTATCTGCCCCTCCCTATTCCAACGGTGGCTCTGCCTCCTGTCATTTCACACTTGTTGGTTCATTGCTCAGATTCCAAGTTGCCCTACATCCTTTGGCTAAGTTCACTGCTGCTCCAGTTGTCCAGAGACCCTAAGGATGGATTTTGGGGGTGTGGGGACCTGGCCCGAATGGGGAGGTGCCAGGTAGAATTCCTTCCTGTCGTAGGTTACTATGCTCTCTGCATGGGGACCCAGGGGTGTCCCGCGAAATCAAGCCGCTAACAGAAACGGAGTTTAAATGACATGAGACATTCTGGAGCCGTGGGGTAAGATGTCTACTTTTGATGGCACTGGGTAACTTAACGCAAGAACGTAATACAACTGAACCTTTACGTGAGCACTGCGGGCGAACCTGCCACAGCCTCACTGTTTGGGGCCTGACGAGATGTGCACTGCTGATGTAGTGGTCGTGCTGCTGTGGGCGTGTTTCATGTGGCTTCCTTCCTTGCCTCCCCACTGGGATGAGCTGCGGGAGTCAGATGAGCTGCGGGAGTCTGAGATCAGACAGTTTAGCTCCAGCCTGTCTTTTTTTTTTTTTTTTTTTTGACAGGCAGAGTGGACAGTGAGAGAGAGAGAGAGAGAGAAAGAAAGGTCTTCCTTTGCCGTTGGTTCATCCTCCAATGGCTGCCGCGCTGCAGCCGGCGCACCGCGCTGATCCGATGGCAGGAGCCAGGTGCTTCTCCTGGTCTCCCATGGGGTGCAGGGCCCAACCACTTGGGCCATCCTCCACTGCACTCCCGGGCCACAACAGAGAGCTGGCCTGGAAGAGGGACAACCGGGACAGAATCCGGCACCCTGACCGGGTCTAGAACCTGGTGTGCCGGCGCTGCAAGGCGGAGGATTAGCCTAGTGAGCCGCGGTGCCGGCTCCAGCCTGTCTTAATGGCAGAGTGTGCATTTTCAGAGTGTCCGTGTTGCACACAGCCACGAATGGGGGAGCACTCGAAGCAGCAACCCTTTACACAAATCCTGGGCGTCTCAGGTCCGTGGGTGACCCCAGCAGAGAATCCACAATCGCCTTGCTTTCACGATCACTGGAAGCTGGAAGCCTTCTGCCACTGCACAATCCATAGGACTTGGAAAGCCAGAGGCTGTGACCCAAGCGTTTAAACCAAGTCAAGTGTGTCCCGTGTCTGAGGGCAACGGCATGTTGTTCTCAGACAAGCCAGGTGCGGGATTCGCACCCTCCACATTCCCTAACTGCGGGCCAACCCAGGGAAGCAGTGGAGCAGAGGGGAACCTGGGCCCAACTCCAAAGCCAGCCAGACCCCAGCTCAGCACCCCTGACGGATTCCATATTGCCTAGGAACTTCTACTGTCAACCGCCAAACTTGCTCCAACAGTGCTTCCCGCTCAGCGACCCACTTCCCGTACCAGGAATGTGTCTTGGGACATACCCTTGGCTGCTGGTACGGGTAGAATCACGTGCCTTGCTTGGTGAGTGCTGGCGATTTTCATTCTGCTTGTGTTTGCGAACAAAGCCTGACTTATTCACGGGGAGAGGACTCAGTGCTAACTACGAGCAAGATGCTAATGCAACATAGTGACTCTAAAAACAAATTGCAGAGCAATGATTTTTTGCTTCCTTTTTTTTTATTTTAAGATTTATTTGTTTATTTGAAAAGCACAGTTACGGAGAGGCAGAGGCAGAGGCAGAGGCAAATGGAGAGAGAGAGAGAGAGAGAGGTCTTCCCTCTGATGGTTCACTCTCCAAATGGTCACTATGGCCACAGCTGGGTCAATCCGAAGTAGGAGCCAGGAGCTTCTTCCAGGTCTCCTACATGGGTGCAGGGGCCCATGCACTTGGGCCATCTGCCACTGCTTTCCTAGGCACATTAGCAGGAAACTGCATTGGAAATGGAGCAGCCAGGATTTGAACTGGTGCCCATACGGGATACGGGCGCTGCAGGCAGTGGTTTAACCTGCTGCACCACAGTGCCGGCCTCTCTCAAATAAATACATTTTTTAAAAAAGTTAAATTTCTATGCTTTGACCAATGAACAAGGTCACCAACAAAGCAAGTTACAGAGAACTGTATATGGAATAACCATTCTTTTGTAAAGTCAGAAAAAACACTTTTATTGATATGTATATTTTTGTTTGTGGACATTAGTATGAATATAGGGAAATGTGGACACTAAGTGAACATTCATTGTTTTCAGGGAGGGGTGGCGGTGGGAATGAGGGTCGTGGGGGAAGGGAGACATGGCTGTTTTTTTCTTTGATACTTTTGGTTTTATTTATTTATTTTTTTGGCTTGTAATAAGGGCAATGATGCTGATTTTTCAAAGAAAAAAATCTAATATGATAAATTCATAAAGATAACTCATCCTGAATGACTTGTCTTTTTAAATTTTATTTTAGAAAAATTTTAAAAAGATTTATCTTATTTATTTGAAAGGCAGAGTTAGAGAGAAAGGGGGCGTAATCTTCCATCTGCTGGTTCATTCCTCAAATGACCACAACAGCTGGAGCTGGGCTGATCCAAAGCCAGGAGTTAGGCACTTCTTCCGGGTCTCCCATGTGGGTGTAGGGGCCCAAGCACCTGGACCGTCTTCCGCTGCTTTGCCAGCCGTTAGCAGGGAGCTGGAACAGAAGTGGAGGGCTGCTGGCATCACGGGCAGTGGCTTAACCTAGCACGCCGCGCCGGCCCCAGTCGCTTCTCTTGGGAAGGATGCGCAGATGATCCAGGGGCAGATGTGGAACAAATCCCTTGGCACATCATGTGTCAGTGCTACAGTGTTAACTCTGCTCAAATGATATAATGTTCTCAGATGAATAATTCACATACCATAACATTCACCCTCTCAAAGTCTGAAGGTTTTTTTTTTTCCTTTTAATTAATTCGGGGTTATGTAACCATCATCACAACCTGATTACACTCCTAAAAGAAATCCAGGAGCCAGTGGCCGCCATTCTCCATTTCTCCTCCCGCTCAGCCCTGGAAACACTCATCTACCTCAGTCTCTGTGGGTTCTGCCTGTTCTGGAACTTGTGTAAACGGTCACATAACATGGGGCTTTTTTTTTTTTTTTTTTTTTTTTTTTGACAGGCAGAGTGGACAGTGAGAGAGAGAGACAGAGAGAAAGGTCTTCCTTTGCCGTTGGTTCACCCTCCAATGGCCGCCGCGGCTGCTGCGCTGCGGCCGGCGCACGGCGCTGATCCGATGGCAGGAGCCAGGAGCCAGGTGCTTTTCCTGGTCTCCCATGGGGTGCAGGGCCCAAGCACTTGGGCCATCCTCCACTGCACTCCCTGGCCACAGCAGAGAGCTGGCCTGGAAGAGGGGCATCCAGGACTAGAACCCGGTGTGCTGGTGCTGCAAGGCGGAGGATTAGCCTAGTGAGCCGCGGCGCCAGCCCGTGAGCCTCTATTCTTAATTTAGGTTTAGCTTAACCTTTTCTAATTTTTTAAAATGAAAGCCTAGGTTATTGGTTTGAGATTTTTTTTTTAAATACAGGCATTTTGTGTTCTAGATTTCCCTCCAAACACTGCTCTCACTACATCTTATAAATTTTGGTAAGTTGTGTTTTCATGTTCACTTCTTTTAAAATATTTTCTAATTTTCCTCATGCTTATTTCTTCCTTGACCCACTTAAGAGTGCACTGTTGATTTTCTATATTGTGAATTCCACCAATTTCCTTCTTACTTGGATTTTTAATTTCATTCCACTGTGGTTAGAAAGCGTGCTCTATTTTCTATCTTATAAATTTATTGAGGCTCATTTTATAGCTTAGCATATGGCCCGTCCTGGAGAAAGTTCCATGTACATTTGAGACGATTGAATATTTGCTGTCATTGGGTAAATGGTTCTGCTCGATCTAGTTGGCTTACAGTATTGTTTATTACTTTAGATTGTCCTACAATCTTGGATATTTTACATTCTTGTTATTATGTAAAAATTTTCAGCAAAATGGTGTGAGGGAGCCCATAAGTTTGCTTCTTTTGGGGGGACTGTGGATGGCTTTCCTCCATTATTTTGCCCCTCTGTATTTTCCAGATTTCTTGTGATGAACATGAATTACTTCACAGTAATCAGGCAAACAAATTAAAAATGGATCCGTGGGGACGGACGGGCACAGCTGGGCGGGTTCCTGGGGGAGGTGCTCCCAGGTGTCCTTGCCACACTCAGCACCATGCGGGCAGTAGGTCTGCAGGAGCTGTTTGGTTGAATTGAAGGTGACAGGCTTGCGAGGGTGACCTGAGCTGCAGTCCGCCAAACATTTAGCGTGAGTATAAGGAGTCGATGAGTTCCTTTGGCTTTACATTACACTAGTAGACTGACGCCAGCCTATTAGGATATTGGGGAGAAATCCTTAGGATTTGGAATCCTTCATCTTCAAGATGAATCTCCCAATATCTGCCAACAGCCTCTTCACTGTGTCCATTAAATGGCCTACTTGTGTATTGGCTGCTGCGGAGCCAGAGTTTTTATTTGATGTTAAAGGAATCTTAATTAAAGTCCTGCTGGCTGTATTTTGCTAATCATCTAGTACGTTAGGTCCTTTTACACTCCTACTCCATGGAATAATTGTGCTTAATTGTGATTAAATGAGAACATAACAAGGGTGTTTGTTGGCTGATATTCACGTTCGTTCTAAAAAGATTTGCAGAAGACAGAGTTATTCCCCACAGCACCGGAGCCCGCTGTCGCGGGAGTTTTGCGAAGCTTGACAGTGGAGGGCCCTGGGCTGATTTCCAGGAGCTCCGGTCCTGCTCGCAAGCAGAGGTTTACGGAATCAGTGCTTCTGGTCGTGGGGCCGGGCTGCAAACTGCGGTGCCACATGCAAATAGACTAACAACTCGCGAGGCCCTGCCCGTTCTCCTGCCTTTTGATTTGCGGTGATTCTCATCACGACTGTGAGTGGTTCTGTTCTCAAAGCCAGGGGGGTAAGTAGATGCCAGCCTCCTTTCTCTCCAGACCGAAGTCTAGACGGCAACATTTATTTTAGGTCAAACTTTAGCTTCTTTCTCACACAGAAAAACAATCGCTTAAAATACATTTCTCCCAAATCATCTTTTCTCTTGATTTCTAAAGAAATGTTCCCTTCAGGGAGCAGCTACTGCATGGCCATGTTTATGTAATTTACGGTCATGAATTAAATTAAAATTTCCTCTACCAGTGTCTGCCAAGTTCCTGTTAATAAATCTGCTGTGCTTCAAAGCGATAGGACTTGGGAGGGTTGTCTTTGTGGCATCTCTGTGGAGTTAGACCAGGAACACAGACAGGAATTTTCCTACTTACTACGATGCACAGTGATAATTCAAATAAAACCAAGTCTCTGAAGATCACATCCTCTTGGGGCTCTTAAGGTTTTCATCAACGGCTCCTAATTATTATTATTATTTTTAAAATATTTTCTTTATTTGTTTGAGAGGTAGAGTTACAGAAGAGAGTGGGAGAGACAGAGAGAGGTCTTCCATCCACTGGGTCACTCCCCAGTTGGCTGCAACAGCTGGAGCTGTGCTGATCCAAAGTCAGGAGCCAGGAGCTTCTTCTGGGTCTCTCATGTGAGTGCAGGGGCCAAAAAACTTGGGCCATCCTCCAGTGCTTTCCCAGGCCATAGCAGAGAGCTGGATCGGAAGTGGAGCAGCCGGGACTTGAACTGCCACCCATATGGGATGCTAGGGTCACAGGCAGAGGCTCAGCCAACAACGCGATAGTGCCATCCTCTATTAATTTTTTGCCAGTCATTGAAGTCAGAGTGAGAATTGAAGAATTTAATGAACTTAAAACAAATGATGATATGCTTAAGGGCAACAGTGTGACAAGGTTTTTTTGAAAGCTTTTATTTAATAAATATAAATTTCATAGGTACAACTTTAGGATTATAGCAGTTCTTCCCCCCATACCCACCCTCCCACCCCCAAACCATCCCATCTCCTACTCTCTCTCCCATCCCATTCTTCATTTTTACTTAACTTTAAAATTAGAAGATCAACTCTATACTAAGTAAAGATTTCAACAGTTGGCCCCTACACAGACACACAAAGTATAAAGTACTGTTTGAAGACAAGTTTTACCATTAATTCTCACAGTACAACACATTAAGGACAGAGATCCTACATGGGGAGTAAGTGCACAGTGACTCCTGTTGTTGATTTAACAATTGACACTCTTATTTATGATGTCAGTAATCACCCGAGGCTCTTGTCATGAGCTGCCAAGGCTATTGAAGCCTCTTGAGTCCACAAACTCCAACCTTATTTAGACAGGGCCATAGACAAGTTTTCTTATTTATTTATTTATTTACTTACTTACATACATAGGTGGATTGTGTGTGTGCTTAGATTAGAAAGAGATAGTAGATGGGGCTGGCGCCGTGGTTCACTTGGTTAATCTTTTGCCTGTGGCGTCAGCATCCCATATGGGTGCCGGATTCAGTCTCGGTTGCTCCTCTTCCAGTCCAGCTCTCTGCTATGGCCCGGGAGTGCAGTGAAGGATGGCCCAAGTGCTTGGGCCCTGCACCCCATGGGAGACCAGGAGAAGCACTTAGCTCCTGGCTTTGGATTGGCACAGTGCCCGCCGTTGCAGCTATTTGAGGGTTGAACCAATGGAAGGAAGACCTTTGTCTCTCTGTTTCTCACTCTCTATAACTCTACCTGTCAAATAAAAAAAAAAAAAAGAAAGAAAAGAAAGAGATAGTACACATTTTTTAGCTGAAAATATTTGACTTGCCATTTTATTTGTCATTTTCTCTCTGAAAGCCAACCACAGGGATTTTTCCAACTTAGAGTTGTGGGAGACTGGCAGGGGTGCTGTGCATCACAAAAGCTGCCAGTTGTGTCCCCAGCAAGTTGTCTGTCCGTACACGGGCGGGAGGGGGCCGGGGGTCATTTGACAGAATTACAGACAGTGAGAGAGAGACAGAGAGAAAGGTCTTCCTTCTGTTGGTTCACCCCGCAAATGGCCGCAATGGCCAGAGCTGCGCAGATCCAAAGCCAGGAGCCAGGTGCTTCCTTCTGGTCTCCCATGTGGGTGCAGGGCCCAAGCACTTGGGCCATCCTCCACTGCCTTCCTGGGCCACAGCAGAGAGCTGGACTGGAAGAGGGGCAACCGGGACTAGAATCAGCGCACATATGGGATGCCGGTGCTGCAGGCAGAGGATTAACCTAGTGCGCCACGGCGCCGGCCCTATATGCTCACTCTTATAACAGTGAAGCCCCATGTGCCATGAGGCTGTGTGCTTGTGAAATAACTGTGAATGACCGGGTGCTGCACCCAACGCTCTGTAACGTGGTTCTTTTCACTAAACTCGACTTCAAGCACTCTCCATGTAGACCCACGTGGATAATGAATTGTAATAGCTTTTTAATATTTCATTGCGCACCACACCACAATGTATTCAGCTATTTTTGGGTTGATGCATATTAAAATTTCCCACTTTTCATTATTGCAAATATTGCTGTATTGCTCCTAATGATTTGCTATTTAATAAGATAATTATTAAAGATTTTTGGCAAATACCCATTACCAAATTAAGAAGGTTGCCCTTATTTCTAATGAGAAATATTATTTCTTACTAAGTGTCTTCAGTTCTTTGTAAAGGCAGAATTACCTTCCTCCTTGCAGGTTCCCCTCCCAGACCCAAAAAGCTCATCAGGGCCAGTGTCATGGTACAGCAGGTGAAGCCACTGCCTGGACACTGACTTCCCAGTTGAGAGCCCATTTGTGTCCCAGCTGCTCCGCTTCCCATCCAGCTCCCTGCTAATGCACGTGAGAAGGCAGCAGAGGATGACCCAAGTGCTTGGGTCCCTGCACCCATATGAGAGACCCGGATGGAGTTCCAGGCTTCTGGCTTCTGCTTGACCCAGGCCCAGAACCAGCCGTCGCAGGCAACTGTGGAGTGAACCAGTGGATGGAAGTTTTCTCTCTCTCTCTCTCTCTCTCTCTCTCTCTCTCTCTCTCTCTCTCCCCTCTCTTCCTCTCTCTAACTCTACCTTACAAATCTTTTTAAAAATGTGTTCTATCTAAAACAGCAGCACACAAGTCAGTTTTTCTCCATTTCATTATGTTCCCTGATGCTTTAGCTCTCTTGATTCATTGGTTCCCAGGGAAGCTGCACAACAAACACACTCTTTTTTTTTTCTTTTTTCTTTCTTTTTTTTTTTTTTTTTGACAGGCAGAGTGGACAGTGAGAGAGAGAAAGAGAGAGACAGAGAGAAAGGTCTTCCTTTTGCTATTGGTTCACCCTCCAATGGCCGCCGTGGCTGGTGCATCGTGCTGATCCGATGGCAGGAGCCAGGTACTTCTCCTGGTCTCCCATGGGGTGCAGGGCCCAAGCACTTGGGCCATCCTCCACTGCACTCCCTGGCCACAGCAGAGAGCTGGCCCGACTGGGACTAGACCCGGGTGTGCTGGCGCCGCAAGGCAGAGGATTAGCCTAGTGAGCCGTAGCACCGGCCTCAAACCCAATCTTGAAATCTGCCTCCATCAGTTTGTCAAGTTCACCATTAGAATAGTCCTTGAATATCCAGTTTAAAAACCATATACGTGTTTAACAAGCACTTCCATTTAATTTATAAAAGTTCTGCAAAAGTTTTGTGGTTTGTCGCTCCCCCTCTTCGTGGAGGAACGACACTAAGCCCTGCGCTGTTCTTTCGTCTGCTCGGCCCTCCCCGGGTTTGCTGCTGGTTCTTCCCGGGTTGGCTACTATCCCTTCCACCTCCGTGGAAGGGCAGTTCCCCCTGGCCACATTCCCCACTTCCGCAGGGGAGCGGCACACCGCCGGCCGGTTCTCTCGGGGGCTGCACGGGTTCCCTTAGATGTTCCCCATAGATGTTCCTGGTGCATGCCGTCTCTCTCCTCCTTTATAGTCCTCCTCCGCCAATCCCAACTCGGCTGCCCACACGCCGAGTACGCTGCTCTCCTCCAATCAGGAGCAAGTCCTACAGTTTATTAGTTGAACTGGAGGCAGCTGTGCGGAAGCTGTTTACTTCTCTCCCAGCGCCATATTGTGGGAGAGCAGATGTATAGAATAAGTCCTAATTCCAGTAACTCAGTCCAGTCCGGATTGCTCCCCACAGTGGTTGAAGGAGTTTACCTAAGATCAGTGCTTAGTTTACTCAGAAAGGGACACTGTTTAAGACAAAAATTGTCATCACAGAGTGGAATTTTAGCACCCTATAGTGAATATACTATCTTTGGCTTTGGGATATTGACTCTTTATTAAATTTACAAAAATATATCAGACCTGATTTTTTCAAAGTAGTCTTACTAGAAATATAGCAAAAGTCAGATACTCAGGAAATAAGGTAAGATTGTTGTGGGCAGGCATTCAGGTTAAAATTGGTTAGGTCTGTGAGCTGGAAGACCACGCCTTCACCACGCTCCTGTGTGACCTCATGCCCCTACCTGGCCTCACCTGTGCACCCACCAGCCAATCAGGTTAATGAACCACTCCCCTTTGGAAGTGGATTAGAAGCCTGGGGGCATGTGTGCTAGTACAGGGCTTGCTGTGGCCCTGTAGCCTGAGCGTGGCCTT